CAACAGTCATGGTTTCTCTGGACCATGTGTTACAACAGTCATGGTATATCTGGACCATGTAGTGTTACAACAGTCATGGTATTTCTGGACCATGTGTTACAACAGTCAAGGTATATCTGGACCATGTAGTGTTACAACAGTCATGGGATTTCTGGAACATGTAGTGTTACAACAGTCATGGTATTTCTGGACCATGTGTTACAACAGTCATGGTAAATCTGGACCATGTAGTGTTACAACAGTCATGGGATTTCTGGACTATGTAAGTGTTACAACAGTCATGGTTTCTCTGAAACATGTAGTGTTACAACAGTCATGATTTCTCTGGACCATGTAGTGTTACAACAGTCATGGTATTTCTGGACCATGTAGTGTTACAACAGTCATGGCATTTCTGGACTATGTAGTGTTACAACAGTCATGGTTTCTCTGGACCATGTAGTGTTACAACAGTCATGGTTTCTCTGGACCATGTAGTGTTACAACAGTTATGGGATTTCTGGACTATGTAAGTGTTACAACAGTCATGGTTTCTCTGGACCATGTGTTACAACAGTCATGGTATATCTGGACCATGTAGTGTTACAACAGTCATGGTATTTCTGGACCTAGTGTTACAACAGTCATGGTATTTCTGGACCATGTAGTGTTACAACAGTCATGGGATTTCTGGACTATGTAAGTGTTACAACAGTCATGGTTTCTCTGGACCATGTAAGTGCTACACTGAATTAATATATGTTTGAATTAGCTCAGTTTCACCCACAGAATGCCCAATAAATTGTTGACTTTAATTACTTATTGTGAAATTAATAATAAATAAAACTCATGGTTGAGTAGAAGATGATAAGTAATGTATACATCTCAAGAAGGTGCTACGATGTTAGGAGTGCTGGTCTGCGAAAAAAAACAACAGAAAATATACTTTATTTCTGACTGTATTTTCAGTATGGGACAAATTACTGAACGTTCTTATTTCGAAAGTTAAAATCTCCAACGAAATGTGTCACATCATGCACTTAGTTGTTCAGTGTCTTACATTGTTTCATATGATGTAAACAACTTTTGTTTGTAATCTCAGTACAAAGTTTGTCTTGCTACACTACCACTCCCCACCACCATTTTAACACCAGATCTTTCTGGTACGAATCAAAGGGTATGTCATACACGTCATGTAACATTCTACAAAATGTCTAAAGTTTTGGACTATATAATATAAATGTGGTACAGAAAAATGTCCAAATCAGTCCAAGCTAACAGTTATATGATTATTCGACCAAACAGAACAATCTCCCATCTAATTTGTAATGACGACGCCACGTAAAACGAAAGACTGGAGACGCTTCGAGCACATAATGATGAGGGCTCTGACACTGTAATAACAAAGGATCTGTTTAATTATTCTAATTATCGTTCGTGCATCAAACATTGCTTAATTCAAACAGACCCACATCGAGACGATGCGTAAAATTGAAAATTTGCCCACGTTGATTGAAGTGTGCTGTTTTACAGTAAGCAGAACCACTACGAATACAATAGGTCAGCTGAAAGGGTACCGAAGGCTTACTTGTCAGCTGAATAAACAAAACTCTCAAGCTGACAGACGTTCGTTTATTGTGTATCCGTTAAACGTCATCTCCCCCAAACTAAACAGACCACTAATATGCAACTACAGAACAATTTTCATACCCGGGGAGTCAGTGATAAGTCTGAGGGCTGATAACGCTAAAAGTTGGGTTTCGATACCTGCAATGGAAAGATACAGACAGTCCAGTTCTGAGAGATACTTGAAAAAATCATGAAATTAAAAGTTCAAACAAGATACTAAATAATTTGGCTTTTGAAAAAAAAACATGCACTAACACTGCTGTAACACAAACTCAGTTATGCTCTGATCTGGCCAGGATGTATATTGTAAGAGATGCAATAACGACAAACATCTGGTTTTCATAAGATAGAAGACATACAATATACTCATGACAGACAGAAAAATAGAATGATGAAGTGAAACTCACGCGCTAATCTGGCTAGAATAGCCGGTTTGTCGTGCTGGATGAACTAATAGTCTTAGGGAATTCGACACCGCTTTCCGCCAACTCTTTGGCTACCCCAATCGAATAATGGGCTTAGGGGATTCGACATCGCTTACCGCCAACCACTTGGCTAATCCAATCGAATAACTGAGGCTTAGGGGATTCGACACCGCTTTCCGCCAACTCTTTGGCTACCCCAATCGAATAACGGGCTTAGGGGATTCGACACCGCTTACCGCCAACTCTTTGGCTAATCCAATCGAATAACGGGCTTAGAGGATTCGACACAGCTTACCGCCAACCACTTGGCTAATCCAATCGAATAACGGGCTTAGGGAATTCGACACCGCTTACCGCTAACTATTTGGCTAATCCAATCGAATAATGGGCTTAGGGGATTCGACACCGCTTACCGCCAACCACTTGGCTAATCCAATCGAATAACGGGCTTAGAGGATTCGACACCGCTTACCGCCAACAATTTGGCTAATCCAATCGAATAACGGGCTTAGAGGATTCGACACCGCTTACCGCCAACAATTTGGCTAATCCAATCGAATGATAGGCTTAGAGGATTCGACACCGCTTACCGCCAACCACTTAGCTAATCCAATCGAATAACGGGCTTAGGGGATTCGACACCGCTTACCGCTAACAATTTGGCTAATCCAATCGAATAACGGGCTTAGAGGATTCGACACCGCTTACCGCCAACCACTTGGCTAATCCAATCGAATAACGGGCTTAGGGGATTCGACACCGCTTACCGCCAACTCTTTGGCTATTTCAATCGAATAACGAGATTTGATGATTAAACTTAGAACGTACCACAAGGTGCAGAGGGCGAGTTTGCAGAAATGTGGCGCGAACCATGGACCCTCAGGTTCACAGATTGGTGCGTTAATCACTAGGCCATACCTGGCCCTAGGAAGGGCAAAAAAACTAGGCAATAATCTAGGTCTTATAGAGAGAAATACACATTTTAACAAACTCCCTCGGAAATGAAAATGTTGAGTTTTTTTATACTTAATTCACAACTTCAAAAATCATTAAACATGAGAAGTGTCGTTTGTCAGCAAAGTGAACTTTTAAACAACGTTATACAGACGTAACAAAGAGTCTTGTTTTTCAGTATGTTAACAAAAGTTTAGATCTCATACACACTTCACTATCTTAGTGATTTTTTTTTTAATTTTAAATCTTGAAAGTTTTTCTAAAACGATTACATTTCTTAAAAGCAAATTTTGGTCGACATTCTGACTCGTTAATTACTCTTTTGGTCGACATTCTGACTCGGTAATTACTCTTTTGGTCGACGTTCTGACTCGGTAATTACTCTTTTGGTCGACATTCTGACTCGGTAATTACTCTTTTGGTCGACATTCTGACTCGGTAATTACTCTTTCAATCTGCGCTAACACGTTTTGGATAAAACAAAAAAACAAATTGATAACTTCTACTACTCACCTTCGGCGTACTGAGAAAATGGCGGATGCTGACTCTTGACGACACCTGGGGTTAGCGAGGGAAAACTATTTTCTCCACCGATGCTGAGAGCTTTCATAATGTCATTTGGCACTACTACGTCCTGGACAAAAACAACAGAACAAATTTGAGAGATGTATCACTTTTTGTAACGAGTATAATCCTTTGTTTATAAATAAAATTATTTACCAAACTTTTACAGTGTAATAAAAGAAGGTAGAATACATTTAACAAAAAAAAACAAAAACAATTAATATTATCCAGATTAATCGATTGATAAAGCAACTGTAAAGAGTACGATAAGCCTACTTTAAAATACTGTTTATTCGTTATTGTTTTAGCACAAAAGCTAAACAATGGGCTAATTGTCCTTTGTCTGCCCTGGGGAATCGGACCCTGGATTTCAGCTTTTAAAGCGTTGATGGTAGTCAATCATGTGTTTTTTTTTGTCCGAAGCAGTGAGTACATTCTCTGAGAAATATTTCGTCTTTTCATGGTGATTTCTCCACATTCTGAGAGTTATCCACAGACACTGGTCTTTTCATGGTGATTTCTCCACATTCTGAGAGTTATCCACAGACACTGGTGGTCTTTTCATGGTGATTTCTCCACATTTTGAGAGTTATCAACAGACACTGGTCTTTTCATGGTGGTTTCTCCACATTCTGAGAGTTATCCACAGACACTGGTCTTTTCATGGTGATTTCTCCACATTCTGAGAGTTATCCACAGACACTGGTCTTTTCATGGTGATTTCTCCACATTCTGAGAGTTATCCACAGACACTGGTCTTTTCATGGTCTTAATGCGCATTTATATAGGAAAGAGAGGTGAACCATAAATCCTCAGATTTACATTCATGGCACTCAATTACTAGGTCACGCCCAGTCCTCTTTGGGACAACCACTTAGATCAATATACAAAAAATAGCATCATGTTACGTAGTACAAAATACTCAATTATAATATCCAAAGAAAAGAACGTAATGATACAGAGGGCGTTAAAACTGTAACTAAAAGCAGTTACAAAGATTAATGTCCTACAATGTAGGCACGAGCTAAAGAACGTGGCACATTCTTAAATTAACAGTTCTCGAGCAATAAGATTACAAACACGTTGCACCATTTTTGTACGCATGGCAAAGCTGCTAAGCCTACCTGCTGCCGTCCTTCATTTTGAACCGCTAACCAACCACCATCCACGCTAAAGGATGGTCAGCCACACTTATAACGCACCCACAGGTTAAACTGTGGATAATATTTTGCTGTAACCAGGTTCACCAGTCCCGAAACTGGTGGAAATCCCCAACATCTATATAAATATAACAGTACTGTATGTTGTATATCCGTGTAACTACTTCGCAGGGTGTGGATGGACCTTCACCAAAATTGGTATGGAGGTTTATTAGGTCCATGCGGGGAGGAGGGGGGGGGGTACATACACATTTTACAGTTTTGCATTCTGCGGTTTTTATAGGTGTTTTTGGGCGTTTATGCATTTTTTACCACTACTTCGCCCCCTGTTGATGGATCTTCACACCAAAGTTGACATGAAGGTGTGTTGGATCCATGCGGAGGTACTTCAAATTTTCAGTTTCACATTTTTTGTTTTGCAGTTTCTGTAGCCGTTTTTGTGATTTTTACAATTACGTATAATGGAAGCAACTTTTCATCTAATAAGATAACCTTTCATTAATCATGAATTTACATAACTTCCGTCCAGTGGGCGGGTACTTCAGCTAGTTGCTAATAAGTGTATGATTTACATCGTATTTCTCGTTATGTACACATTGGTATTATCTTAGTTTAGTCTCTAAAGAAACGTGTTTTTCCACTTTTTCTATTTCAGATTAGGCGTCATTATAATTAATTTATTATAATTA